GGCAGGACCAAATACTGTCTAGACCATCCCTGATAGACATTTATCTAACCTACTCTTAAATATCTCCAGAGATGGAGATTCCACAACCTCCCTAGGCAATTTATTCCAGTGTTTAACCACCCTGACAGTTAGGAACTTTTCCTAATGTCCAACCTAAACCTCTCTTTCTGCAGTTTAAACCCATTCCTTCTTGTTCTATCCTTAGAGACTAAGGTGAACAAGTTTTCTCCCTCCTTATGACACCGTTTTAGATACCTGAAAACACCCTGTTACGTGTTTAGGGATTGAGGGTATAAAAGATACAGTGCCCAGTGAAGCCAAAGCGTGCTGCAACAGGGTTCAAGGAATGATTGCTAGATATTATAAAGCTTCTGTGCAGCTCCCACCTCCCTTTTGCACTGATTACATCCTACTTGCAAATCACACTATATTCCCTGGGATCGGCATTTTTCTCCCTTCAGATCACAGGTCCGGGACGAGAGCTTGGAAACATTCTTTGTCCAGCACAGTGGTTCTAACCCCTGGAAGGCTATGAGGTATCCAACCTTAAAACCACGTGCTTCTGATTATCATCTTGCTTCCTCCCCACCCCCTTACTTCAATAACAACATGATTTTTGCAGAAGATACTTCATGAAGCACCATATTTAGAGAGAAGTGGTTTATATCACTGACGTGCTGGGTTGGCACAGCTCTTCCAGGGTATCAAGCATTTATTCCTAGCACTGGTGATTTGAAAGACATCAGTCTTTAGACTGTCACTGGTCTTTTGAGCACCAGCGTTTTGTTCCGCATAGGCCACAGACTGAATACAGAAAGTCTCAGACTTTGGGCCAGCGTCATTTTCTGGGGCACGAACACATCAAGGTCACTGCTTCTTTCTCAGGGCTTTGTTATGCAGGACATCAGAGTAGGTGAACTAAGGGTCCCCCCGGTCTTAAAGCCAATGACTCTCCACTCACCTTTATATCTGTACAGCGCGTTCCAGAGGAACTGGGATGACACCACAGGCTTCTCCACGAAGATCGTTTCCCCTTTATGGATATTCCTGGTGGCAAATAAGCCTTTTCCCTTTGAATGGAGAAACAAGAGTGACTCCCAATCTGTAGAAATCTGCAGCATGGCAAGTTCAGTTAGGGCTATTCCGTCTCCCCAGCTAGCTGTGAGTTCCAGACTTAGGGTAGACCAAGAGTTGGAATAGAGTCCATGTCTTCCAACGCCAAGCCCCGTGCCCTAAGGCAAAACCCTGGCTCTGAGAGTGTAGGGTGGCACCCAGATCCTGAGCTGTAGACTCCAGATCCAAATGTTTATGGCTTGTGCCCTCTCCCACAGACTGCTCCAGGGGGCAAACTAGGGCAAAACTCCCACTGACTCCAGTAGGCCAGGATTTCACCCCTCTAATTTATCTTTCACCTGGAAGGATCTCAAAGTTAAACAGTAGGGTTGTCGATTAATCACCGTTAACTCAAAAAAAATTAGTTACTGTTAAGCACTAGAATACCAACTGAAATGTATTAAATATTTTTGGATTTTTTCTATATTTTCAAATATATTGATTTCTATTACTACACATAATACAAAGTGTACAGTGCTCACTTTATATTATTTTTATTACTAATATTTGCACTGTAAAAAAGATAAACAAAAGAAATAGTATTTTTCAATTCACCTCATACAAGTACTGTAGTGCAATCTC